CCACCGCCCTGGTTTTGTTTGTTTTTTAAAGGCATTCATTTTAATATTTCCAGCATTCCTTTTTTTAAATATATTTAATTTATTTTTTAAAAATATATTTTATTGATTTTGTACAGAGAGGAAGGGAGAGAGATAGAGAGTTAGAAACATCGATGAGAGAGTCATCGATCAGCTGCCTCTTGCACACCCCCTACTGGGGATATGCCCGCAATGCCCTTGACTGGAATCGAACCCGGGCCCCTTCAGTCCCCAAGCCGACGCTCTATCCATTGAGCCAAACCGGTTTCAGCTAAATATATTTTATTGATTTTTTTCAGAGAGGAAGAGAGAGGGATAGAGGGTCAGAAACATCGATGAGAGAAAATCATCAATCAGCTGCCTCTTGCAACCCCCTCACCAGGGATGTGCCTGCAACCAAGGTACATGCCCTTGACCGGAATAGAACCTGGGACCTTTCAGTCCACAAGCTGATGCTCTATCCACTGAGCCAAACAGGTTTCGGCCCAGCATTCTTTTATTACTACTTCTATCAAAACTTTTCTTATTATTGCCGAAGCTGGTTTGGCTCAGTGGTAGAGCATCGGTCTGTGGACTGAAAGGTCCTGGGTTCGATTCCGGTCAAGGGCATGTACCTTGGTTGCAGGCACATCCCTGGTAGGGGTTGTGCAAGAGGCAGCTGGTCGATGTTATTCTCTCATCGACGTTTCTAGCTCTCTCTCTCTCTCCCTTCCTCTCTGTAAAAAATCAATAAAATATATATTTAAAAAAAAAAACTTTTCTTATTAAAGGTGAAAGAGGGGCTCAAGTGAATACTGTTGCTATTTTTACTCCATTTCTTTTTCAATATTAAAACAGTCAAACTATAACTTGTAACCTAACACAAAGAATTGCACACCAACTGCTGGTAAACGTGTGGGCTGTTACTACATACAAGGAGGCTAATCATTGCATATCTTTCCTCCAGGTTTAAGACCACAATACCTGCCAGGAAGTATACATTATCCCACTTCAACTTCACTACTGAAATGTCACACGTTACAGTCACCAAAGGGAAATGATTAACACTTTTATAGAGTCACTCTATTAAGGCTTAATCTTCACCAAGACCCTATGAGACAAGTACAATTATAATCTTCAATTTATAAATGAGGCAAGTTGGCCCAGGAGGTAGTCTGCCCAGAGTCACACAGCTTATAAGTAGGCAACTTCAAAATGAGTTAGATTTTAAAACTCATCTAGACCAATCACCCTGCAAAATACAAAGGGAAAACAAATCCATTATTCTGATTTTATAATGTGACATAAGTAGAATGCTTTTATACTTTTCTGTTCAGAAAAGGGGCTTCTCCTCTGCTTCCACTACAGTGAGATCTTGCTTTCCTTACAGTTCTCTGCAATCTACTGAAAGAATTCCTCCTCTCACCGAAACCAGTTTGGTTCAATGGACAGAGCGTCGGCTTGAGGACTGAAAGGTCCCAGGTTCGATTCCAGTCAAGGGCATGTACCTTGGTTGTGGGCACATCTTCAGTGGGGGGTGTGCAAGAGGCAGCTGATGAATGATTCTCTCTCATCGATGTTTCTAACTCTCTATCCCTCTCTCTTCCTCTCTGTAAAAAAATCAATAAAATATATTTTTTTAAAATAGAAGAAAAAAAAAAAAAAGAATTCCTCCTCTCTTTACAGTTAAAGACTCCAGGCCCATGGAGTCTTCGGGAAGGAGGAACACACTTCCGTTTACCATGCATATTTTAAAAATTCTCCTCCAGCTAAATGTCAAGCACGTATAAAGCTTCTAATATTCTACTGGTTGATAACAACATACACGTTATTTATTAAATCAAATCAAGAGTTATTTGGTGTGTCTATATAGCAATATAAATGCTATATGCTCTACATTCAGTGTGGACTGTTACTTCTCATTAACCAGCAAGAACTTAAGAAACACCTTTTATGTTTTATTTGCTACTTGTCCCCCAATCAGACTGTAAACTAGTCTTACTCATCTTTGCTGTCCCCAAACCTAGAAGTATATGCATTTAAGAAGCCTCTACGTTAATGACTAAAAGAAAAATTTTTTGTTGACATGTTAACCCAGGTAAATTGTAAGAAAACCACAGCAAATAATAGCAGGGCTATGTAAGAGACCAACAAATACTGTTCCCATGGATCTAAAACAGACATCACTCGTGATAACTCAGAAGTATACGAGAGTGAGAGGACAAGACGCCAATGAGCATTTTTACGTGCTGCAGCAAAGGCTTTGCATACATTCTCGCAAATAATCCCCACAGTTCAACGGGGTATGAATATTTTAGAACGTGAGACTTAGGGAAATCAAGTGGCCCAATGTCACAACGCTTCAGCTGGCGCGCCCGGCTTGTCATCTGGATCTGTCAGACTCGGAGGCCCGTGCTCGGCACCCCGCTTCTCCCCCCTCGCTCGCACGTCGGAAAGCAGAGCCTTGCCAACCCGCTAGGACACAAAGCGGCGACCCCTCTGTGCCACCTCCGCCCGCTAGGACACGGCGGGCTCCCCGCTCCCCGCCGGGCACCACCCGGGAGACCAGAGCTAGCGGGCGGATCGGCCTCGGCGCGGCCCCCGGGGCAGCGGAGTGAGGATGGAGAGGGGTACCGGAAGCGGGGTGCAGGGGCCACAGCACCCCGCCCTCCGCAGGGGCCCCTCTGCCCTGCGCTCCCCGCAGCAGGGAGCCGGCGAACTTACACAACCCGATCCAGAGCGTCCATCGCTACCGCACCCGGAGCTGCGCGAACACACGTGGATCGTGTGATTACTGTAAGACAGGTGGGTGCCCGGAAGAGGCGGGACCGGAACCTGCTGTGACGTCACTTCCCACGGCCGCCGCGCCGTGGATGCCGGGAGGCGCTGGCGGCCTTTGGGGGCGGAGTCGCGGTGTTTGCTTGGTGGCGGGGTTTGGCGGCGCTGCCGTCCCGGGAACTAAAGCTCTAAGTCACAAGGCGTCTAGCAGCTTCACGTGCAGACCTGTGCATGTAGCCTGAGCCACATATTCGGGGCGCAGGTGTTATTCCTCTAGGGACCCCTCAGGGGCTCAGGTGGTCACTAAAAATATCAATGTGAAATGTGCGCTATTGACTCCACTGTGAGATCAGTGAGACGAGTCTAACTACCTGCCACATGGAAGGTGTGCATAAAATCATACTGCTGATTATGATTTTTCCCCAAATATGAACATACCATTAAATTTGCCGCTGTAAAGTAGTAATTTCAGTGGTTTTTTAGTATACACAAAAGGATGTACAACCATCACCACTATCTGAATCCAGAGTTATCTTCCCAAAAGGAAACGCCCACTTTTGTAAGCCAGTGGCACTCTCCCTTTTCCCCTCCTGCCATCCTCTAGCAACCAGCAATCTATATCTCCATGGATTTGCATCAATGGATTCATATAGTAATATGCAGCCTTTGTGTATGGTTTGTTTCATTTTGCATGATCATGTGTTCATGTGTAAGGTTCATACATGTAGTATGTACCAGTAATTCACTTTTTTTGAGGACTGAATAATATTCCATTCTACGGATACTCCACACTTGTATAGCCACTCAAAAAGTTATGGGGGAGCATTTGAGATCTTGTTTCCATCATGTTAGTTTGGCACAAATAAACTCATAAAATTCTCAAAAAAATGTATAGACATTTGGATTGTTTCCGGGGTTTGAGTACTTGTATTATGAATTACGCTGTTTTGAACATTCTGTACAAGTTTTTTGTTTGTTTCTCTCTCTCCCTCTGTTTTCATCTCTGAAATCAATAAAAAGTATATATTTAATAATAAATAAATTGGGAGCATGGAATCTGAATAGGAAATAAGAACTTTTAAGACATGAGAGTAAGAATCTTATTTTGAATTTGAGAAGACTAGGACCTCTACTACCTTGATATTTAAAAAAAAAAATTTTAACCCTCACCTGAGGATATGTTTTTATTGATTTTTTGAGAGGGAGGAATAGGGTGGGGAGAGATTGCTGTTTTGATCCACTAAGTTGTAGTAATTTGTGATGACTACAATAGAAAACTTATACACCTACCTTAGTAAAACCTCCCGTTTAAAGGACTCATCGGCTGGAACCGGTTTGGCTCAGTGGATAGAGCGTCGGCCTGCGGACTGGAAGGTCCCGGGTTCGATTCCGTCAAGGGCATGTACCTTATGTACCTTTGTTGCGGGCACATCCCCGGTGGGGGCTGTGCAGGAGGCAGCTGGTCGATGTTTCTCTCTCATTGATGTTTCTAGCTCTCTATCCCTCTCCCTTCCTCTCTGTAAAAAATCAATAAAATATATTTTAAAAAAACAAATAAAATAAAATAAAAAATAAAGGACTCATCAGAGCCCAGCCAGCATGGTTCAGTGGTTGAGCATCCACCTATGAACCAGGAGGTTCAATTTCTAGTCAGGACATATGCTTGGGTTGTGAGCTTGATCTCCGGTGTGGAGCATGTAGGAGGCAGCAGGTCAATGATTCTCTTTCAACATTGATGTTTCTCTCTGAAATCAATAAAAAATTTATTTAAAAAACAAAATAAATGAAGAGCCATCAGAGAAAGTTCCCTATAGTCATTTTAACCATATTTTTTTAATCCTCATCTGAAGACATTTTTTTATATCAATTTTTTTAGAGAGGAAGGGAAGAAAGGGGGAGGGAAGGAGGAAGAGAGAGACAGAGAAACATAGATGTGAGAAACATCTATTGGTTGCCTCCTATACCCGCCCTGCCCAGGGATGGAACCCACAACTTGGGTATGTGCCCTGACCAGAAATCAAACCTGGCCACCTTTTGGTGTACAGGAGGACACTCCAACCAACTCAGCCACACTGTCTAGGGCTAACTATATTTTTTTAAACAACCATATTTTTTTCAATTATATCTGGTCCTTAATGATTCTGGTATATTAAGTTGTAGCTGTAATTGAAAATGTATACATCCAATAAAAATAAAATAGTGACCAAACAAAAGCTGAGTAGTCATTTTATATAAAAACTTAAAAAAAATTTTTTAACTAGTTTTAAAAACATTTTATCTAGGAGTAGTTTCTAAGGCAGCATCTTGAGTTTCCATACACACAGAACTTTCTGTTTCAGAAGGAGTATCAATAAGAGGGCCAGAATCCTCTATTTCCAAGTGCGGTGGTTTTTCCTGTTCATAGCTCAGACTTGAATTAAATTTCATTTGAATCTCTTGCTCTTCCAACTCCAAAGGTTTATCTGGGGCTGGAGCTACAACTTCTTCATCTTCATTTTCATGTAGAAAGTTACAAATCATGTTGGGTCTAGTGGAGAAATCATTATCCTCGATTTGTAGCCATTCCACACCATCTAATGGGATTATGGGGGGGTGTTTAAAGGTGGGAAGACAAACCAAGAAAGAAACATGAAAAATGAATTTAGTTAAATATATATATTGTTTAATTTTCATCCCAACAATATATGTCAAAGTGAAACTCAAACATAAACCAAGGATCATGGTTCCTATAACTACTGATAATCACAAAATTCCCATCTTACATGGAGACCTTATTATGCTTATAGGGTATGCATCATCAAAATCACTAAAAGTAATCTGCTTCAGTTACTGTTCCAAGCTCTTCTTCCCACAGTTCAATTCCCAACTCATTCTTAGAGATAATTTGAGCTCTCACTGCGACCTCATACCTTAGAGTAGGGGTGTCGAACTCAATCAGAGAAGGGGCCAAAATCTAAAATCCAGCCTAAATCGTGGGCCGAATGGTTTACTGAACAGTCATAAACTGTCATTGTGATGGAAACGCAGCGGAGTGCAGTGATGACAGCGCGGTGCAGGCCACATTGCAAGGCCTGGCGGGACGGATTTGGCCCGCGGGCCTTGTGCTTGACACATGTGCCTTAGAGTAAAGAAAACTGTCACTTCTCTACCATTTTCTCCTTACCCACAAAGTTTTTATAATACCATGGAGGATTCTACTCTATCATCTCAAATCAACACATATATATCCTTCTGAGTTGGGACATTCAATTGTCAAATAAAACACCTCTCAAAAACAAACAAACAAAAACCTTGAAAAATGTTTGTTCCTCTCCATAGTCATAGTCAAAGCCCTACCCCCTCAATAAACCCCTACAATCAAGAATTGCTCCCAGCTGGCTCAGTGTGACCAGCAGCTGGCACCTGGCTCCCTGCTCCGTGACCACTGTCTCTCATGGCTTTCGCTCCCTCTTTCCCTCCCTTCCTCCCTCCCTCCCTCTAAATAAATAAATAAATAAATAAATAAATAAATAAATAAATAAAAAGAATTGCTCCCAGATTGGTGTAGCCACTGTGGAAAACAGTATGGAATTTCCTCAAAAAGTTAGAAAGGGAACTCTCAATTGACCCAGCAGTCCCTTAGCCCTCTCTTTCACAGAAACATGCGTCAGAGTAATCCATTTATCCATCGCTCAGGGTCTGCTGGTCAGCCTTGGCAGGGGAGGGGTTGATCAGGGAAAAAAGAAGACATATGTAATACTTTAAACAATTTTTTAAAAAAAGTTTAAAATCTAAAAAAAAAAAAATGCACCAATAATGGTAATTTTTTTATTCCTATTACCCTTTCAGGCAAATATTTTCAATGGGCCCTCTTTCATTTCTTCTTTTACAGTTTCATGGTTAATAGTAAATGCTTAAAATCTTTGATAGTTGTAACAGTATTCTGAGTTGTTTTGAAAAAGTTTAAGCTTAAGATTTTTCCCCCCAGTGTTGCAACAAAATCCAGTTGTGTTTTTTTTTTTGCAGTTATCTGCTTCATTCTTTACCCCCCTTTTTATTGATTTTTGGGGGGCCTCATTAATTTTTATAGCAAGCCCAAGCTCTTTAGTCTCATCCTCAAAATTCTGATAGCTATTAAGATACCCCAATTTATCTTGCCACCCTATTCACACTTCCATTTGCTCTGTTCCTCACTATAACTAACTCTTTTGCAACTGTTTGTTGACACTTCCTAACTAATGATCCCATGTCTTCTTATATGTTATGTCTATAAAATCTCCACTAAAAATTTATTAGTCCTTTTCTCTACAGTTCAGTTTCAACTACTGGCTTTTATGTTTTTTTTTTTTTCTGCAAGAGCAATGTTCTACCACTTACCCAGGTTCAAAACCTTGAAGCCATCCCCGCCCCACCCCCGTCCGCCCCACGGGAGATCACACAGTCCCCCACTATCACAAATTATGCAGTAGAAATTCCCACGTTGAGGAAACCACGGGGTCAGCACATCCAGAGTGCAATAAATAAGCCTCACTCTGGAAAAACCACCTTCCTGATCATGGTATCTTCCCTGCCAGGCAAGTATTAAAGCCATTCTTTACTCTTACTTTGCATGATACTTGCCACCTAACAGATACTGAAAATAAGGTGAATGAAATGGGTGTTGTTACACTGAGCCATGTGTTTCCATGTGACTTACTTTTAGAATGCAAGTTCCTAAAAGGTAGGGGCCACATCTCCTATCTATTTGTTTCTGCCTCCAGCATACTGTCGTGCTTGGTGGCCAGCCTCCAGATGGTCCCCAATGATCCTCACCTTCCTTTCAAGCCCCTGTGTAGTCCCCTCTCACACTGAATAGGATCCTGCAGAAATGTCAGAACGACTTCTAAGGCTATTCATAAACGACATCATGGACCATGTGATCTGGGAGAAGCCAGCTGCCATTTCAGGAGGGCACTCAAACAGTACTATGGGGAGGCAAGGACTGAGGCCTCATGCTAACAGCCTGCACGAACTTGCCAGGCATGTGCGTGAGCTATCTGATCTAATTAGATCTTCCAGCCTTGCTCAAGTCTTTAGACATTGCAGCCCAGCCAACATACTGACTGCAACCTTGTGAGGAGTTCCAAGCCAGAACCACGTGGCTAAGCTACTCCCAAAATCTGTATTCACAGAGACTGTGTAAGAGAGTTGGGGTTTTTTGTTGTTGTTTTGAACCATTAAGTTCCAGGTAATTTCTTATGCAGCAACAGATAACTAATACTTGATTACTAATTTATTAAACAAAACACCAAAATCTTCTCAAAGACCTAGAAAGAATTTTAATTATAAAAAATAAATAACAAGAACCTGGCCAGTGTCACTTAGTGGTTTGAGTGTCGACCTATAAGCCAGGAGGTCATGGTTTGATTTTCTATCAGGGCACATGCTGGGTTACGGGATTGATCTCCAGTGGGGGGCATGTAGGAGACAGCTGATCAACGATTCTCTCTCATTGTTGATATTTTTCTCTCCCCTCTCTTCCTCTATGAAATCAATAAAAATATAAATAAGGAAGGAAGGAAAAGAAAGGAAAAGAAAAGAAAGGAAAGGAAGAAAGACAAAGGAGACTGCTGATTTCCCTAGGAATCAGAAATCATGTCAAGTTTCTTGACAAACTCCCCACAACTATTTCCAATGCAAAGCAGATAGAGATTTCTTATTTGTCCCAGCACCCTCTTCTACATAAGAGTTCAACTGAATTTTAAATCTATGTTTGGTACTTTCCATGGAGCATATTCAATAATATACTTAACATATTCATATAGTCATTACTACAAAGTACAAAAAATGTCCTGGTAGCAATGTGTCACCAATTTTAAATCACCAATTTTCAGAAAACTAGGTTAACTAACCTATGCTTTCTTCTCCTTCCTTCTTTTCTGTCAGAAGAGTTCTTGTCATGCTGAGCTTCTTCATCGTATGGCATTTATATTTTAGCACTGTTTTATTGTTGCCTTCAGCATCCACTAGAACATAAAATAAACTCAATTATTATGCTATAATACAATAGTACAAATAAAATAAACATGTTAAACCTCAATAATTCCAATTTAGTGAGTTACACTACCTCCTGTTTAGATAGTGGAATAGTTCAAGATTTAACTCATCTCTCCTGTCAAGCATAGAGAAATAACAGATAAAATACTTATATAACAACTGGACTCAAAACAACAAACAACTCCACGGGACAGACACACAGAACTATGAGTGAAATTAAAGCTATGGGCCTGCTAGGCTCCAGCCCTGAAGTAACGAAGTGAAGCCAGAAACTTGGCTTTACAGAGTAACGAGGTCTAAAATTCTACCACACTTGCCCTCGCTGGTTTGGCTCAGTGGATAGAGCATCAGGATTGAAGGATTGAAGGATCCTGAGTTCAATTCCAGCCAAGGGCACATTCCTGGGTTGCAGGCTCAATCCCCAGTGGGGGGTGTGCAGGAGACAGCTGATCGATGTTTCTCTCTCATTGATGTTTCTAACTCTCTATCCTTCTCCCTTCCTCTCTGTAAAAAATCAATAAAATATATATATTTTTTAATTTTGGAGAGGGGTATACAAGGGGCTTCAAGAGTATTGAATGCTTTCTAACTATCTGGCAAAATGGTAGAATCTGATACAGCTAGACAATGAGTATATAAAGTGGTTAATTTTAATATTCACATACATATGTTTTAAGTATTTTGTAGTAAAAAGAGTTACCACAGTAATCACTTACCATGTTCAACATTTTCTTCAAATAAAACACAGGTCCCAAGAGTGTCTGTGGAAAAATTTAAAGATAACTTATTAAGAACTAACAGAGCTACATTCTCTGAAAAGCATATTTAAAAAGGAGTTTCATCAATCTGACATCCTCCTACCTTCATACTCGCCAGCAAATACATAGCTGTCCACTTGCAGAATGGGCCTCTCAGTGTCAATTCCCTGCATCAGAATACAGGATTATAAAAGATCACCAGAAAAAGCCTTAGAGGGTGGGTAAAATGGGGGAAGGTGGTCAAAAGATACAAACTTCCAATGATGAAATAAATAAATCCTGGGGATATAACATACAGCATAATAATTATAGTTAATAATATCCTATTGTTTATTTGAAACTTGCTGAGAATAAATCTTAAAAGTTATCACAGAATTAAAATTTATAATTATGTGTGATGACAGATGTTAACTAGACTTAGTGGAGGTGATCATTATTTCACAATACATACAAATATTGAATCACAGAGGTCCAGTGCACGAAATTTGTGCATGAGTAGAGTCCCTAGGCCTGGTCAGCGATCAGGGCCAATCTGTGGTGCAACCACTGGGGTGATCATGGCTAGCTTGGAGCCGCCTGCTCACTGGCCCTGGCCCCCAGCGTCCCCCCACCCCTGCTGATCGGGGCCTGTGGGCTGGGGGTAGCTCTTGTATTGAGTGTACCCCCTGGTGGTCAGTGCACATCATAGCATCCAGTCATTCTGCTGTTTGGTCAATTTGCATATTAGGGTTTTATTACAGAGGAATATGCCATACCACTGAAACTAATATAAATTTGTATGTTAATTATAATCTCAATTTTTAAAAAAGAAAGAAAAAGCCTTCTACATGTAACTTTGCTACCAAGAGCAGGGATGGAGAACGTCCAGATAGTGGGCCCTGGAAATCTTACTCATCACTCTTGTTTCCAAGACTTAGGGTGAGTTAGTGAAATGTTTGACCAAATATAGCAGACTAATTTTTAAGCTGATAATTTTTTACCGCTCCCGAATGATGTTATAAATATCCAGATGGCCCTTGGCAGAAAAAAGGTGCCCCATGCCTGCGCTAGAGTCTAGAGCTTCTTGTCTTGGCAAGCACAAGATACGCTGACACTGCTCTGACCCCAGCAGCTCCAAGTAATAGGTCTATTTCAGTCAACACGCTCTTCAAGTCAGCCTAAGAACAGAGTGATAGATCCTCCCTTTCCCTCAGTTGATGGACAGACATAAACCCCACCTGCAGCCAGGCATTCCTGAGTTCTGAACCACCAAATCAGCACCTGCCAAATACTCTAAGCCCCCATTCCTAAGTCCCTAGGTCCCTAATCAGCGTGTGCTGAGTGCCCTAAGCCCCGCCCCCTATCTGCTCTCCGTGGAAGTAGCTGGCAGGGGTACCCTTCCCTCCAATAAAACTTGTGTCCTGCCATCTAGCCTCCGGTCTACCTTCTCTAATTAATCTATCACAGAGGAAGTTTGGTCAACAGTTGCTCCAAGATTTTAAAGCAAAGTGATGAAACAGGCGGAAGTCTTTTCTTAGTAATAGGTACCTTCTCTTCCTTCTCCACTTTCCACCCGTGTGTGCAAATCTCATTATCCTCTCTCCCACCTTCACTATCTAAAACCATGCATTTTTTCAGAATATCTACCCAAATGCCTCTTCCTCCAAATCTTCAACTCTCTGCGGCCATCCATCCATCCATCCATCCAGACACTCAAGCAGTGAGGCATCTTCTCCCACTGCTCCCACAGGCCCCGGTACCTCTACGACTGTCTTTAGAGTTCACTGCTTTGTAACGTATGTATCCGTCTCCAAAGCTCACCATTCATTCCTGTTCCTAAGTTTATGAAAATCTACAGCCACTCCCCAACTCCGGAAGACTCACCAAAATCTTGCATTTATTTTCACATTTAGAGAGAAAGTCCGAATCGATAATTCCTGACAATTCCACCAGAACCAGCTGCTCCTGGTGGGAGAAGACCGGGTTAACGCGGAGCACGCGGGTGCAGGGCAGGAAGAGGCAGGGACCAGGGACCCCCCACACACACCCCCCCCCATGGCAACGGCCCCGCCTCCGGGAACACTAGGTCCGGCTTTCCAGGAGAGGAAGACAGCGCCGTTTCCCAAAGAGGCTTCCTCCACTTCCCCCTCAGACCAGACTGCGGGGTCAGGGCTGAGGCCAGCTCCCCCGACCCCCACCCCCACCCCCACCCCCTCCTCCGGGGCCCCCAGCCCCGCCGGCAACCCAGGGGCAAGAAGCGTGCGAGGCGCCCGTGGGGGCTCCGAGCCGCCCAGCACCCGACTCCCTCCCCCTCCCGCTGCCAGCGCGGCCCTCGCCGCCGCCGCCCCCCACACAGGCTTCGGCCGTAGCCCTCACTGCTTCCCCTACCTCCTCCTCCTCCTCCGCCTCCCCGTCCGTGGGATTCCGCTCCACGGCGGCGGCCATGATCCCACCCTCCCCACGGCGCCCAGTGGCTGGCCACGCCCCCCGCGGCCGCCGATGCCACGCCTCCCCGCGTTCGGAGCGAGTGGCCACGCCCACCGCGGCCGCCATCTTGAATCCGGGCAGCCTCTTTTTTTCCGGTCCTGTCGCCGCTCAGGCCTCTAAACCACTCCTTGCAGGCGGCAAGGTGTCCACCCCGTGCCCCGGTGGAGGCCGGTTCCAGGCCTGTTCCTTGTTCTTTTCTTTCTTTTTCGTATTTATATTTTTATTGATTCTACAGAGGGAGAGAGAGAAAGAAACATCAATGGTTGATCAGCTGCCTCTGGCACGCCCCCTACTGGAGATCGCTTGCAACCTGGGCAGGAGCCCTGCCAGGGAATCCAACCGAGACCTTCTGATCCGTAGGTGGCCGCTCAACCGCCGAGCCGCCCACCAGCGGGGCTCCTGGCTCCTTTCATGAGATCAGAGGCGGGTCCTGGCTGGCTTACAGGTCCTGGGACCCAGAGATCCGTCGCTTAGGCCCCGCCCCAGGAGGAAGGAGAGGGCTGGGGAGGGAGAGGGGAGGGAAAAGTGCAAGCAAGGAAGCCTCCACCTGCTGGGAATGCAGAGGCTAGTGTTAGCGCAGCCTACTCTCTTGGGAATCAATCCTTAATATTTGGAGGGAAAAAAGAATGTAACTTCATAGGGTGATCTGATTGTAAATTACTAACCGGGCGACTCAGGCATATAACTTTTTAGTGGAAGCTTGTATTTGCTTTGAGCAAGCCTGCCCATTGTGTCTGTGCACCTAGGTTAACACACTTTTGAAATAAGCAGTAATCACCCTCTAGAGTAGGGGTGTCGAACTCAATCAGAGAAGGGGCCAAAATCTAAAATCCAGCCTAAATCGCGGGCCGAATGGTTTACTGCAGTGTTTTTCAACCTTTTTTGGGCAAAGGCACACTTGTTTCATGAAAAAAATCACGAGGCACACCACCATTAGAAAATGTTAAAAAATTTAACTCTGTGCCTATATTGACTATATATAAAGTAATTCTCTTGAATAGGAATCAAATAAACACAAAGAAAGTATTTTATATTTACTTTATTATGAAATATTAAGTAAACAAAATAGTGAAAAATTATAAAATTCTTGTCTTGTCTGCACCTACGGCACACCAGGCAACATCTCGCGGCACACAGCGGTTGAAAAACGCTGGTTTACTGAACAGTCATAAACTGTCATTGTGATGGAAACGCAGCGGAGTGCAGTGATGACAGCGCGGTGAGGGCCACATTGCAAGGCCTGGCGGGACGGATTTGGCCCCCGGGCCTTGTGTTTGACACATGTGCTCTAGAGGGCACACAGTCTGAACTATCCTGTAATCCAATCCCTACATTGCTCTCTCCTACATCCTTGCAATGTTCTTAGTTCCCTCCTTAATTAAGTGCATAAACGGGATGCATTCTCTGGAGCATTTGAGATCTTGCTCCCTGGCATATGGCATCAGTTTAACTCAAATTCTTATAAACACTCTCCACTGGTATAGACGGTCTTATGTCACAATATCATGTGAGCACTAATCCTCTGTTTACATTTCCCCTGAGCCAAATGAAGAGAGCATTTCAGATTAACTAGTGTGGCGCCGAAACCGGTTTGGCTCGGTGGATAGAGCATCGGCCTGCGGACTGAAAGGTCCCAGGTTCAATTCCGGTCAAGGGCATGTACCTTGGTTGCAGGCACATCCCCAGTAGGGGGTGTGCATGAGGCAGCTGATCGATGTTTCTAGCTCTCTACCTCTCTCCCTTCCTCTCTGTAAAGAAAAAAAAAAAAAAAATCAATAAAATATATTTTTAAAAAAACACCCCAAAAAACAGATTAGTGTGGGGGTTCAGAATGAGCTACCTAAAGATGTGTTTCTGTGGAATGCAGATTGTTGAGCTAAAGGCAATTTTAGCTTCAGCCTCGGTTTCCTCCTAGTAATACCCCCAGATCATACATAGTATTTGGAAAGTCCTCTCCAATCTTCAGCCCACATTGGTTACTGCTGAGATTCCCATGGCTAAAGCTATACGTTCTTGAAGTGCAGGGACTTGTTTCCAAAGGGCATGGGCTTCCTATGTTTGGGAACCTTAATGTCTAGCCTTTCTAAGCAGATCATAGGTCCTGGCGCCTCTCCAGGGTGCTGCCAGGAGACTAAAGGCAAACCAATTTACACACCTTCCCGACCTACAGATATCTCCACATCCGTTGTTTTTTGTTTTTTTTTATAAGATAGACTTTGTTTATTTATTTATTTATTTATTTTAAAATATATTTTATTGATTTTTTACAGAGAGGGAGAGAGAGAGACAGAGAGAGAGAGAGAGAGAGAGAGAGAGAGAGAGAGAGAGAGAGAGAAACATCGACCAGCTGCTTCTTGCACACCCCCTACCGGGAATGTGCCCGCAACCAACGTACATGCCCCTGACCGGAATCGAACCTCGGACCTTTCAGTCCGCAGACCGACACTCTACCACTGAGCCAAACCAGTTTCGGCTCCCCCTTCCGTTTTAAATAAAGACACCCCTCTCTTTTTCCCTCTCAAAACATCAAGCATAGTTTCCTCAATGAGCTAAGACTAACAATATAGGAAAGTACATGATCTTCCAGTAGCTTCAGTTTTCCATTCTATAAACATCCCAGACAGAGGAATACAAATGGCCTGGCTACCTGCTTGGAAGAAATTAGGGCATTCGTATCTCCATAAAGTATCATGCCATATCAATAAAATCATTCAGGGGGGGAAAAATCAAACCTTCTCTTGTTGGTTTTAAGAGTTAAAGGAATTTGTTCACCCCTAGGTTCACCTTGGGAGCTCAAGGGCTCAAAGTACTCATTAAAATGAGATTTGCCCTGGCCAGGTAGCTCAGTTGGTTAGAGATTCATGCCAATATGCCAAGATTGCAGGCTTGGCCCAGCTGCTGGGCTCAGTGGTTGAGCATGGACCTATGAACCAGGAGGTCATGGTTCAAATTCCAGTCAGGGTACATGCCTGGGTTTCCAGCTTGATCCCCAGTAGGGGGCATCAAGAGGCAGCAGATCAATTATTCTCTCATTGATGTTTCTCTCTCTCTCTGGCTCTCTCTCTCTTTCCCTTCCTCTCTGAAATCAATAAAATATATATATTTTAAAAGATTGTGGTTTTGATCCCAGTGAGGGCACATAAAAGAAGCAACCAATGAACGCATAAATAAATGGGATAACAAATCAATGTTTCTCTCCCTCCCTTCCTTCCTCTTCTCTCTCTCCCCTTTCTTTTCTCTTGCTCTAAAATCAGTAAATTAAAAATAAAAAAATCATGTAAGAGACAAATTGCAGGTTTTGTACAGCCACAGTTGTATCTATTAGAGAAAAATATATTTAATTTAGTGGAGAGGGTAATTGATTTTTAAAAATATATGTTTTTATTTATTTGAGGGAGAGGAAGGAAAGGAGAGATAGAAAGAAACATTGATTGGGATCCAGCCTGCAATCTGGGCATGTGCCTTGACTAGGAATAGAACCAGTGACCTTTTGCTGCGTGGAATGATGCTGACTCAACTGTGACACCGGCCTGGGAGGCAATTGATTTTAGTTAATAAAGAGAGATCTCATGAAAAAAATCAGAAATATACCGTATTTTTCGGACCATAAGACGCTCCGGACCATAAGACGCACCAGTTTTTAGAGAAGGGAAATGAAGAAAAAAGATTCTGAAACAAATAGTGTCCTAAAATATTTTATGTGCATTAAAACCCAACATCACAGTCATAAACACATGTAATCAAGCCTGTAAAGTAAACAGCAGCATTTAGAACCATTTTAGAGCCGGGCAAGCACACAGAGACCACACAGAGCCGGGCAAGTAAAAAAACTTTTTTTTTAAAGTATATGTGTAGGCTATATTTGGACCATAAGACGCAGGGAAAGTGCGTCTTATGGTCCGAAAAATACGGTAATTTCTGAGAAATATAAATGGCTAGTTACTAGTATGGTCAAAATTTTAAAACCTGCCACTAGGAGGAGACAAATGAATAAAAATTGTTTAATCTGCTCTTCCCTTTAGAACACATTTCCTAAATAAAGAAGAGCCTCATGAAAAATATATTTAGTGGCAGAATTCTAATAAAAGAGACTATTTTTAATATTTTTATTGACTTTTAGAGAGAGAGAGAGAGAGAGAGAGAGAGAGAGAGAGAGGAAGAGAGACAAAGATGTGAAAGCAGAACACCTTTCAGCTGCCTCCTGCACGCCTCTTACCAGGTATTGAGCCTGAAACTCTGGCCTGCGCCCTGACAGGGAATCCAACCAACTGAGTCACACTGACCAGGGCTACTTATTTATTATTGATTTTAGAGAGTTGGAGAGAGAGAAATATCAATGTGAGAGAAAAATATCGATTGGCTGCCTCCTGCATGCACCCAAACTGGGGATTGAATCTGCAACCTGGATATGTGCTCAGATGGGGAATCAAATTTTGTACTGGCCCAAACCGGTTTGGCTCAGTGGATAGAGCGTCGGCCTGCAGAATGAAAGGTCCCAGGTTCGATTCCAGTCAAGGGCATGTACCTTGGTTGCGGGTACATCCATCCCTAGTGGGGAGTGTGCAGGAGGTAGCTGGTCGATGTTTCTCCTCATCGACGTTTCTAACTCTCTCTCCCTCTCAATTCCTCTCTGTGTAAAATAAATTAAAAATATATTTAAAAATTTTGTCCTGGATGACATTATAACCAACTGAGCCACACCAGCCAGGGTATGAATTTTTTCTTTAAATAGCAGATTATATCCATTACAGTAATTTTTTTTATTTTTATTTTTTATTTTATTTTATTTTTTTAAAGAATTTACTCATTTATTCAATGACAATCATGTCATCATCGTCCCATAACAGTAATTTTTTAAACCCCTTTCCTTTTTTAATTTTATTGATTTCAGAGAGAAATGGAGAGGTAGAAACATCAATGAGAATATCATTGATCGGCTGCCTCCTGCACGCCCCCTACTGGGGGGTCGAGCCAGCAACCCAGACATGTGCACTTGACCGGGATCCAAGCCGGGACCTTCCAGTCCGCAGTCCAATGTTCTATCCACTCAGTCAAACCAGCTAGGACAAAAATCCCTTTCTTACACTGCTTTAAATCTGAAAACTAAACGTTGGACCAATGGCTCTCAGACTTCAGCTGCATCAGAATGACGTGGAAGGCATATTGCTCAACCCCAAACCCAGAGTTTCTGATTCACTAGATTTGGTATAGAACAGGACAGACTATCTGCATTCCTAACAAGTTCCCAGGGATTGCTGATGCTTCCGGTCTGGGGAACACGGTTTAAGAACCATTGTGCTGGATTGTAGAGGGCCCCTTGGGAATGCGCATGGATGACCTTTAAATTAATGTCAGCTGAGTCCAAGGTGACTGCCAGGGCCGTCCCCGGAAACAGCCTACAAAAAGTCGGAGACTGTTATCAGTACTGATTTCTTATCTTTATCCAGGTGCTTGGAATGAGGAACCAATAGGACCTTGACTTACCCAGGTCTTGATATGCTAAATTCCAGGAATGAGGGAATGAATAGGACCTGGGCACAACCAAAACTTCTTTGACCTTAACCTCCCCTCTGGAAATCAATAAATGTGCTGTGTTGTCTGTGGTGGGTGTTGACTGTCCCTCCACCAGAGTGACGGCATCCACCTGGCACACAGCTTGATGAACCTATCGTGAATCCCCGAAAATAAGACATCCTCCGAAAATAAGACCTACTTACAGGTTTCCTTCTGAGTGAAATATAAGGCATCCCCCTGAAAATAAGGCCTCCCCTAGGCTAAACATGAGAGATTTAGTCCACTGATTCTGAAAGAAATGGAGTCACAAGAAATTCACCAGGAAATTCAGGAATTGGATTGTTATGATGATATTCCAGAAGATGATGACATGATTGTCATTGAATAAATGAGTAAATTCTTGATACTGTAGGATGCACAGTTTGGTTTGTGTTGACAACTACAGTACTACCGTACCGTATACAGGTAATAAACTTCCTTTATTCTCATTTAACAATAAATGTGTACCGTATTCTTCTTCGTGGAAAAATAAGACATCCCCTGAAAATAAGACCTAGTGCATCTTTGGGAGCAAAAATTAATATAAGACACTGTCTTATTTTCGGGGAAACAGGGTATTTCTGCCTCTTGTCTCTTCCTTTCTTTTATTTCTTTTTTATTTCTTTTTTTATTTTTTTTTCTTTAAATGAATCTTTATTGTTCATATTATTACAAATGTTCCTCATTCCCCCCCCCTTCCCACCCTCCATTGCTCTCTTCCACCAGGTTCCCACCCCATCCTCTGCCCTTTCCCCACCCCCATTGTCCTCATCCATAGGTGCATAGTTTATGTTCAGTCTCTTCCCACTCCCCCCTCTCCCCTTTTTCCCTGAGAATCGTCAGTCCACTCCCCTACCATACCTCTGATTCTATTATATTCACCAGTTAATATTGTTCATCAGATTTTTTTTAATTCCCTTGGTTTTTAGATTCACTTGTTGATAGTTACGTATTTGTTGTTCATAGTTTTTATCTTTATTTACTTTCTCTTCCAAAAGAACCCTCTTCAGCAATTCATATAATTCTGGTTTGGTGGTGATGAACTCCTTTAGCTTTTTTTTTATTAGTGAAGCTCTTTATCTGGCCTTCGATTCTGAGTGATAGCTTTGCTGGGTAGATTATTTTTGGCTGTAGGTTCTTGCTATTCATCACCTTGAATATTTCTTGCCATTCCCATCTGGCCTGCATGGTTTCTGTTGAGAAATCAGCTGACAATCGTATAGGTGCTCCTTTATAGGTAACTACCTTCTTTGCTCTTGCTGCTTTTAATATTCTCTCTTTGTCTTTTGCTCTTGGAATTTTAATTATGATGTGTCTTGGTGTGGTCTTCTTTGGATTCCTTTTGTTTGGAGTTCTGTGTGCTTCCTGGACTTGTAAGTCTAATTCCTTCACCAGGTGGGGGAAGTTTTCTGTCACTATTTCTTTCAGTATGTTTTCAATATCTTGCTCTCTATCTTCTGGGACCCCCATAATTCTGATGTTGGTTCGCTTGAAGTTGTCCCAGAGGTTTCTTACATTATCTTCAACTTTCTGGATTCTCTTGCCTTCTTGCTTCTGCAGAGGAGGGTCTTCTGGCTCTTTATGTTCCAAATCTTTGACTTGATTCTTGCGATCTTCCATTCTGTTTTTAGGACTCTGTATAATATTTTTTATTTCAGAAAATATATTCTTTATTTCTTGTTGATCCCTTATTAGTTCTTGTTGATCCCTTTTCATCTCCTCATAGGTCTTGTCGACCTTTTCTAGGAAATTCTTGAAAAACCTTATAAGCGTGGTTTTGAACTCTATATTCAGTCTCTTCTTTTCCTCCATTTCTTTTGTTTGTGCTCTATTTCCTTGTCTTGGCATTTTCACAGCTTCCCTTAGTTGGTAGGGTGGCTTTGTGTGCTAAGGTGTCCTATATGTTTCAGTGAGTCAGCCTCCCAGTTACCTGAGGTGGATAGTCTTGGTGTAGCCCTTTGTGGGCTGTGTGTGCAGTCTTGTTGTTAAGCCTTGCTTGTTGTTGGTATCACTGGGAAGCGTTGATCTCCAAGCCAATTGGCTATGAGGATCAGAGGCGCGCACAGTTTTCCATACCTTCACAGTTCCTGAGGTTCAGCGCGCCTTCTCTCTCCTTCCCAGATGGTAGAGCCTTCCCTCAGCCAGCCGTCCAGCGCCTCAGGGTGATGTTTCCCCTGTTTTTCAGTTCTAAATTCAAACTTGTTGTGGTAGGCTGCATTTGGGTGTCTGCCCTATGCCGCCATCTTGTTGAGTCTCCCCTTTCTTTTATTTCTTAATCCCCAGCTCCTCCACTCAGGAGCCTGTCATTCTCCCTTTTCGTGCGGGACGCGAAAAAAGGAGAAGCACCCCAATGCGCTGGATAGCTATGGAAGTATGTAAACCATTTGCGAACAACCAGATTCAATTCAGTATGGAGAACTTACTAACTAAAGTTATTTCAGTTTCTTAGACAGTAACTTGGTGTTGCGAAGATGATTAAAATGATCATTTTTGGATGACTTTGAATCCAAATGAAAGCAATTTAATAGTGGCACAGCATCCCAAGAATTGGTGGTTAAACAAAACATGTTTGGGAAAAAACAAACAAACATGTTTGCACACTGAACTCCCAGCAGCCAGTTTATAATAAGTCCTAGTTTAAGGCCCGATGCTGCGCAGAATTGTAAACTATACTAACCCAGTGTTTCCCAACCAGTTTTTGGCCGTGCCCCACCTAAGCATCTCTAAAATCCTGATGCCTGCCCCGCACCCCACTGTGACATATAATTATTTTTTTTAATTTATTATTATTATTTTTAAACATATTTTTATTCATTTCAGAGAAGAAGAGGGAGAGAAACATCAATAATGAGAATCACTGACCAGCTGCCTCCTGCATGCCCCACACTGGGGATGGAGCCTGCAACCTGGGCCTGTGACCTGGTCCCTAGGTGGCGCTCAGCCACTGAGCCGTCCTCATTTTTGATCCAGGGAAGGAACGGAGGCCCAGCAGCACCTGGGCGTAGTTCTGCCCCAGGTAAACGCTCCTCACATGGAGAGCCTGCTCACACCCAGTGCACAAGTCCCCAAGCAACCCCCAGGACGCTGAGACCCCCCACCTCGGCCACCTGGCCTCTCCCGCCGCTTTTTGTGTCAGGGTTGGTGGGTTGGAGTCAGGGGGCACGTGTCCCAGGGCCCGGCACCCCATCCTCCCCGTCCTGGTTCCAGCGGACATCACGGACAAGGTGCCCCTGGAGAAGGCCCCGGGCCTCATCGCGGGGCTGCTGGCTGCCTACCCGCAGGACACAGAGATGGCGGAGTCCGGCTGCGCGGTCCTCTGGCTGCTGTCCTTGCTGGGTGAGGTCCCGGGCCCGGGGCTGGGGTGCCTGGGCCCGGGTGGTGATGGCCCATGCCCCGCCCCCCGCAGGCTGCATAGAGGAGCACCTGCTGGAGGAGGTGGTGGTGCTCTTCCTGCGAAGCCTCCGGCTGTGCCAGGACCGAGTCCTGCTGGTGAACAACGCCTGCCGGGGGCTGGCCAGCCTCGCCAAGGTGTCGGGTGAGCAGGCCGCCTGGGCTTGAAGGCGGGGCCCTCACTGCTGGGAGGGGGCTGCCAGGACCCTCCCTCTGCGGGAGGCTGAGGTGCGGGGGGCGGGAGGGACTCGGCTCCGCTCACAAGCAGGGCTGTCCCAGTCCGGAGGGCAGGACCCCAGAGAGCGAGTCGGGTGAGGGGTGTCTTGGCACCTGCTGGCTGTGTCCCCAGGTCACTGCTCACACAGGCTGACCCCTGACGCGGGGTGCATGGAGCACCCCCATGCCCTCCCCACTAGGAAACAGCCGGGCCCGCCTCACAAGCTTTGCACCTGCAGCGGGGACACTGACCTAGGAGCCCTGGCTGCAGGAAGCCAAGGCTGCCTCACCCTGTGGCTGAGGTCCCACGCTCACCCCATTTCCCAGAGGACACGGGGCTTCAGGGAATGAGCCCCGTCCTGCCTCCCCGTCCCCCTACCCCCCAGAGCTGGCGGCGCTGCGGGTGGTGGTGCCCGAGGAGAAGGGCAGCGGCCTCAGCCTCATTAAGGACACATACGAGCTGTACAAGGACCACCCGGAGGAGGCGGAGAACGTGTGCCTGCTGCTGGTCCACCTGGCCTCCTACCGTGAGCACCCGCCCCCCGCACGCCGCGGGCAGGGATCCCTGCCCCCGGCTCCCCCTGAGATGTCCCATTCACACGACCGAGTGCCCGCCGTGCGCCAGGCTGGCAGGTGCCAGCTCCTGAGCCCCAGGTCGGGTGTCTGCACTAAGCCTCAGTAGGCTGGGGCCCAGCCAGTCCTGCCAGCCGCCTCGGGAATGCCTGAGCTGGGGGTGCGGGCCGGCTCGGCTGGGAGGGGCTCCGGAGGGAGAAGGCCTGGCCTCAGGACCCTCCCTGCCCACAGCGGACACGCTGTGCGAGCTGGTGTCCAGCGGCATCCAGTCCCTGGTCCACGAGATCAAGGATCGCTTCACCTCCAGCCTGGTGAGTGTGGGCAGCGCTCGGAGAACCAGGTTTCCGCCCTCCCCCTCTGCCACCATCAGGCCAGGAGCCCCATGGGGCTTCTGCGGGGGCGGCAGCACCTCCTGCCTGTTCGGCACCTGAACCTGAGGGCAGCCATCAGCTTTCAAAGGCAAGGACTCAGACACCAGCTGTGGAGCTGAGACTGGGCCCTCCTCTCCTCTCCCCTCCCAGGAGCCGGTCTCTTAAGCGGAGAGGGTGCTGCAGGGCCTGGAGGCGGCCAGGCTGCCCTGCTCTGCCCAGGAGCCTCCCGCTGCGGCCCCAGAAGACCAGCACCTCCGGGTCCCCGTGCCCGTGCCGTCCGCCCTGCAGCGTGGGGCGCCCGCTGACCGGCCTTTTCCTTAGGTGGGAGGGAGAGGCAGTGCGGATGCGTCTGGGTACAGCCCTCAGCCCCGGCTGGGCCAGCGGCCGTGTCGGATACCACCCTTCCGGAACATTCTGAGCGAAGACTCAGGCTCCCCAGCCCCACCTCAAGTAAAGCACACTCAGTGTCCTCGGTGGGCTGGACCTTCTGTACCTGTCGGCGCAGCAAAGCCTCGGGCTTCAGGCACCCGGTGATGCCCCCGCTGAGACCCTGGTCAGACCGCACGTGGCTCCGGGCCGGGAGGCACTGCAGTCACAGCCCACGCGGGCGGCCTGAGCCCGGTGTGGCCACAGCGCGGCTCTGACCTGGGGTTAAACTCGGGGGGGCAGTGGGGTGGGAGGAGCACTGCCACCTGCTCGGTCCGCGCGGCCACAGGAGACTCCTCGCGAGGCCGGGCTGAGCTGGCTGCCGACCTCCCCATCCCTGAGGCAGAGGGAGGGGCCTCCTTGGAGGAAGGCGGGACACCTGGCTGCTTCTGCCCTGGGCCGCCTGAGCCCAGCAGAGGGGCTGCCACACAGACAGGGACAGGGTGCTGGGGCTTGGCCGGCGGCCTCCACCAGGGGCCCAGCGCCACCTGCCGGCTGTGCCAGGATGCACGGTTTTCCCATCGGAGGAAAGGGGTGGCCCTCAGCAGCACGTGCGCCTCCCGCTGCTGCGATCTGTCACCACTCTGGGAGACTCCATCGGTCCTGTGTCTTGGTCACAAGGGCCTGTGGACGGAAACGCTGCCCCGGGGGCGGTGGGCTCCGCTACGCGTCGTCTGGAGCGGCGGCCGTGGCGGGGCGCCTGTCCTGGCCACGGCCGCGCGCTCCCGCTCCTTCTTCACCTCCTTCTTCACCGTGACGCAGTCTCATTGCCGCCTGGGCATCCTGGATCGAGCAGTGCTCCGCCTGCTGCACCCTCACGCCCAGGACCTTCTCGGCCGGCAGCTGCAGAGACGACGGCCTTCCGCTCTGCACCTGCCGCTGGAAAGGCTTGTATTTCTGTGTGTCCCGAACCTTCTTTCTCGGGTGATCAAGGCAGAGGACCTTCAAGTGGTTGTGCAGCGAGTGCCCCACGAGGATCCGGCCCCGCAGCATTTCAGCCACTTCCTTCTGAACGACTGCAAACGCTTCCCCCTGCCGGATGCCGCTGACCGCCGTCCTGCAGTCGGTCACGGGCTGGGTCGGCTTGATGTACTTGTCGTAGACACACTTGCCAAACTGGTTCACCACGGATACGCGGGCAGCGAGGCTCTCCTCCCCCGCGGGGCCCACGCCCACCATCTCGCAGCCCAGCGCCAAGGCTTCGGTCAGGCCGCCGAAGGCCCGCTCCTTCGCCAGCGCCGCGCCGCTGCCCCCGGCGCCCAGCTGCCTCCTCGCTATCTCCGCTGCCTCCCGGCCCATCGCCGCCTCGATGTCCACCGGGTCAACGTCATCGACCCAGATGTCTGGTTCGGTGGGCGGGGCTGGGGTCAAGGCTGCAGTCACCTCCTTGGCTTTTCCTCTTCTTACTCTTGAGGTCCCCTCGTTTTGGAGAAATGTCACCATTTGTCCTGTTGGCTGCTCTCTCAGCGCGCTCTGCTCCGCGGGCCTTCCTGGGGGCGCTGGCGCCCCCCCGTTGGGCAGCGATGCTGGAGGAGCAGAGCCCGTGGGGGCCTCTCCGCCTGCCTGTTCCGTCCCCACCGCCTGGCGCTCCGCTTTTCCGTCCTGCTGGGCAACCTGGGGCTGCTTTTTGGAATCCCGCGGGGAGAGAACCAGAGGCTTTCCTGGGGCCTGTGATTTCTGTTTCAACACCTCCTGCAGCGCCTTCCGGTTCTGGGAGAAGGCCTCCGGGGCCCTCGCGGGTCGCAGCGCCGCCGCGGGATCGCCCCCCGGTTTCCTGCTGGCTTCTAGCGCCTTGTTTTTCCAGAATCTTTTCTTTTTCTTCTTCTTCTCCCGTGGGAGCTTCCCGGCCAGCCCGGGCTGGGCCGCGGGGGTCAGCCCCGTGGTCCTCACCATCCCCGCGCCGCCCCAGGCCGCCGGCAGCCGCCCCCCGCCCGCCCCGCGCCGTCCCGGGCCGCCGGCAGCCGCACCCCCTTTCCCCCGCCGCCCCGGCTCCGGCCCGCGCCCCCGGCGCAAGCCCAGCCCGGCGGAGGGGTGACAGCCGGAGGGAAGCCGGCCTCCCGCACCGGCGACCTATAATTCTTATTATTCAAAAAGTGAGCTCCTGCCAAAACCGGTTTGGCTCAGCGGTAGAGCGTCGGTCGGTCTGCGGACTGAAAGGTCCCAGGTTCGATTCTGGTCAAGGGCATGTACTTTGGTTGCAGGCACATCCCCGGTAGGGGGTGTGCAGGAGGCAGTTGGTGGATGTTTCTCTCTCATCGATGTTTCTAGCTCTCTATTTCTCTCCCTTCCTCTCTGTAAAAAATCAATTATATATATATACATATACATATATATATATATATATAATATATATATATATATTATATATATATATATATATATGCTCCTATTCACGTGGGGGAAACCTAAAAGGCCACTAACTTTATCTAAACAGAAAAATAAAAGAACAAAAGGGCAATTGAAGTTCTGAGGAAGAAATCACTAAGAAATTGTTTAAATAATAATATGAAATTATATGAAAAATAGCAAATAAAGTTTTAAAACATATATCAGAAAACTGAAATGAATAAATATGTCACAATATACCGTATATTTATATACTGTATATAAGGCCACTAGAACCATAAAAAAATGCAAAAAAAAATCTGTTAATAACTCATTCTCAAATTGCCCCCTTTAAAAATCAAATTGCCTTAAAAGCATCAAGAGAGAAACGGAATACCCACACGATTGTCAGCTGATTTCTCAACAGTAACCATGCAGGCCAGACGGGAATAGCAAGAAATATTCAAGGTGATGAATAACAAGAACCTACAGCTAAAAATAACCTACCCAGCAAAGCTATCACTCAGAATCGAAGGCCAGATAAAGAGCTTCACTAATAAAAAAAAAAAAAAAGCTAAAGGAGTTCATCACCACCAAACCAGAATTATATGAATTGCTGAAGGGGGTTCTTTCGGAAGAGAAAGAAAATAAAGATAAAAATTATGAACAACAAATACATAACTATCAACAAGTGAATCTAAAAACCAAGGGAATTAAAAAACCCGATGAACAATATTAACTGTTGAATATAATAGAATCAGAGGTATGGAAGGGGAGTGGACTGATGATTCTCAGGGAAAAGAGGAGTGGGGGTGCGGGAAGAGACTGAACATAAACTGTGCACCTATGGATGAAGACAATGGGGGGTGGGGAAAGGGCAGAAGGTGGGGTAGGAACCTGGTGGAGGGGAGAAAATGAGGAACTTTTGTAATAATACGAACAATAAAGGTTTATTTAAAAAAATCAAATTTCCCTCTTCCCCCCACCGTTGGGCATGTGCCCCATGTTGGGAACTACTGGGTTAGAGCTACTTTCATAAAAAAGTTTGAGAAACACCGGTATAGGTCAAAAGTAAATGACTGCTGGGAACATCATGACAACACTTACAGTTAGAGAAGTATCCTATGATTTATAGTTAGGGTCCTGTAGCCTTTATGATATTGTGATAGAATTGGCTTCTAATTAAATGGAGTAGCATGAGGAGAAGAGAGAAGAGGGACAGATAAAAGAAAAATCCAAATTACTACAAATAAGAGCCTAGATGACTCCTAGAAAGCTGTCAGCTTATTTTTCAACAGAAACTTTGCAGGTCAAAAGGAATTGGCATAAAACATTCAAAGTGATGAAAAGCAAAGACCTATAGCTAAGATTATTCTACCCAGCAAAACAGTCATTTAGAATCAAAGAACAGATAAAGAACTTCCCAGTCAAGACACAGCTAAAAGAGTTCATTACCACCAAACCAATATTATAAGAAGTATTAAAGGGTCTTCTCTAAGAAAAATAAAAATAAATTATCAAATATGAACAATAAAATGGCAATAGGCCTGGCTGGCATGGCTCAGTGGTTGAGCATCGACCAGTGAACTGGAGGTTCAATTCCTGGTCGGGGCATATCCCTGGGTTGGGAGCAGAAGGCAGCCAATCAATGATTCTCTCATCACTGATGTTTCTATTTCTTTCTTTTTTTAAAAAAATCTTTATGGTTCAGATTATTACGTTTGTTCCCTTTTTCCCCCCATAGCTCCCCTCCACCCAGTTCCCCTCCTCACCCCACCCCCACTGTCCTTATCCATAGGACAGTGAGATTTTTGTCCAGTCTCTTTCTGCACCCCCTACACCCCTTTCCCCCTGAGAATTGTCGTCCACTCCATTTTTATGACCCTGATTCTATTATATTCACCAGATTATTCTGTTCATCAGATTTTTTATTCACTTGATTTTTAGATTCACTTGTTGATAGATATGCATTTGTTGTTCATAATTTTTATCTTTACCTTTTTCTTATTCTTCCTTTTCTTAAAGAATACACTTCAACATTTCATATAACACTGGTTTGGTGGTGATGAACTCCTTTAGCTTTTTCTTATCTGTGAAGCTCTTTATCTGACCTTCAATTCTAAATGATAGCTTTGCTAAGTAGAGTAATCTTGGTTGTAGGTTCTTGCTGTTCATCACTTTGAATATTTCTTGCCACTTCCTTCTGGCCTGCATAGTTTCTGTTGAGAAATCAGCTGACAGTCGTATGGGTACTTCCTTGTAGGTAACTGTTTTTCTCTTGCTGCTTTTAAGATTCTCTCTTTTGTCTT